GGAGGAGGAGGAGGAGGAGGAGGAGGAGACTTTGAGCATGGTCATAAAGTTATGTTAATCTCTTGCCATTTTAGCATTGGAGACTAACATTACTTTTAGAAATCTGAAAACGGGTTGAAAAGTGAATAGTTTCTGGGCTGACTTTTATTTCAAGATTTACTTTGTTGTTCCTTATTAATTTGCTTGTGTTTTTTTATGATACTGCAAGCTGATTGATACATTTGAATAAACTGAGAATATTTATTTCTATCTTTAAATACATAAACACCCATTCAGTGCTAATTGTGAAAAAAAAAAGATTTATACTCCAAGTAAAGTGGTTCATCTTGGTTCAACTCATGCGATCGTACTGAACGTATTTTCAAACCAATCTACAGGACAGAAATTCCGAAAGGAGCAATTGTAGACGGATGGGAATGCTTTGGGTAGCTTCTCTTTTGTCCTCCCAGGAAACATTATCCCCTTGAGAGAGAACTTTACCGGAGAAATTTGAGACAAAGCCTTTTACTTGAGCCATTATCTGTACATCTAAAGGTGAGTCATTTTTCTTTATTCTGAAAAGCCTGAAGAACTAATTTTTTATGAAATGCATCACAACATGAAACTCCAAACATTACATTAGCTTTAAATAGACACAAATAATCAGATTAAAGGCCTGTTAATACCAAAATGTTTCATTTAAAATGTCAGGCTGAAGATTCTATTTCAATTCAGTCCAGCTGGAAATAAATTAAATTTCGTATGCGAGACGAGCTTTTATCCGATCACCATTCTGATTGGAATCCATGTACACATCCATTCAGATGTTTGGGGTAAGAAGATCTCCTCAGCACATGTTTGCAACTTTATCATGACTTGTTTTTCTGTACTAACCTTCCTCCACTGCTTCTGGTCCTGCTTGGTGGAGGAGGCGGTAATGAATGCAACGTGTGGAAGGAAGGAGCACTAAATTAACATACTGCTGAGCCCAAAACTTAATTAATGACCACCAAAAACACAAATATGAAGCGAAGAAGGGCCATAAGACACAACTGGAGAAAAAGAAATGTGAGGGACATGAACAAAGACTAGCTAAAGTTTAGAATGAGTGGACAAGTACGCGTTTATTTACAAAACATGCCGTTTCTATTTCTGCTATTGAACCGGAAGATTAGACGGTTCAGCGCCTGCTCAAATAATTTACTCTGATTGAATGCTGCGTACATGTACTGTATACACACATCACTATCTGATAGGTTATTTAGTCTCCATGAAAACAGAGATTGGGAATTTCCGATAAACTAAGTTTAAGATCGGATTGGTGAAACTTTGTGCATGTAAACGTAGCTATTGATAAAGTGACCTTGATCAGTTACATTGATTAATATATCTTCAGTGCAATGCATATTACTAGCAAATAAAATGCTAGTAATATGTATTGCACTGAAGAACTGATTGCATAAAAAATGTGTTATACATTGTTAAGAAAGTATTTATCTTGTGTGTATGTGTGTGTGTATGCACTTATATAGAAAGCAGAGTGAGGACCATTTGTACAGTTTCATCATCAGAATGAGTGTGATACAGGTGTCAATTGGGTTAGAGTTTGGTAAGGTATGCATTGGTATTGGTTAGGATGGCCACAGTTGATGGGAAAACATTTTTTTCCTGTGACCCTGTCATTCAATACGCTTCATACTTGAAGGTTGTGAGAAGGAGGACTCCAACCTTCTCTTCACAGAATGCAGAACAACAATAGTGTCTTTTGTGAATTACTTCTACAAACCCTTGCATACTTTTGTCCCTTATTGCACCATAAGAGCAGCTGAAGCTTCTCACTTAAAATGTCACTAGTTGGAGATACATTTTGATGCTATAAAGAAACTATGATTACAGTTCTGCAGTTTGGGAGCCATTCTTTTTTGATCCTCCCCTGGCAGTGGGGATTTCTTGATCATAAATGGGCTTCAAAGAAAGTATCTTGATACCCATGTCATGTCCTGACAACTACTGCAAGATTTAACAGTTCCAGGGGGAATGCTGTGGTGTTAGAACTGTAGAGTGACTTGGAGATGGAACGCCTACAGCTAGGCAGAACTAAAAGGAAGCTTAGCTTTTAACCTGAGCAGATCAAACTTACTTTGAGATGAAATGTAAGTTGCCTTTGTCAACACAATAGAGGCATTATTGTATCATAGCAGCCCTTCCCCGTCAAATGCCAGCCAAATGGCAGCCTACTCCCCTGCAACTCCCAGCAAAAAAAAAAAAAAAAAGGAATTGTAAGGGTCCACCGAAGTGCCCATCAAGGAAAGTGGGGAAATTTTAAATGGCTACTATTGTGTATGCAATTACCTGAAAACATCAGTTTTGCCTTCAGCAGTCATGGAAGTTCCAACACATTACTGTACTTTTTATTTAGGAAAATGAACTTGAATCTGGAATTTGCCTGGAACTTGTGCTTGAGAAGACTTTGGGCTTGGAATTTTAATATATATTCATTTTCTATGAACATCCTTAAAGCAGTTTTAGTGTCGCACAAAGCACAGGTTGATTTTGGATTTGTCACAAGACTTTAATTGTACAGTTTGGCATCCTTCATCTAGTATCTGCTTTCTTTTCATCATATTTTGGCATTTGGTCAGTTATGTTATACTGCACTTCAGATGCCGGCCTTGCATCCTGAACTGGTCTAAGAACTGGACTGCAGGGTACTTTGTATTGTTCTATAGACATACTGGGTCTTCCGCAATTTGCTTCCACCATTTTATGAACTCTCAGCAGACAATCTTTGGACTACCTGGTGTCCAGCATTTACTTTAACCAACTCTTGGCCACAACCATATCATAAGCATGTGAGAGTCAATTTAATTTCTATTCAGTTTATTTCTATAGTGCAAATTCTTGACACGTCATCTCAAGGCACTTTACATAGACAATTCAACCAGATCATATGGTAAAATTAGTTCAAAGTTTTATATCTAAGGAAAACCAGATAATTCCATTGACTCATTGACATGACAGCAATCCCTCACACCATAGATGATTGTGTGATCATTCCCAGGGTAAATTATTTCGATCAAATTTTTGTACGGTACAGATTTAGTTAATAAAGTTCAACAATGCCCATTACTACATCAAATAACTGAAAGAAAAAATGGGGTGTACTCAAGGAACAATGTATGACAGCTTGAAAGTTATTTGAATAAATTATACAGTATATTTTCCGCTCCCAATATAGTGAGCATTGAAAACAGTTATTGTATAACATAATGTAGCGTTTCTGTATGGGTATTAAATATTAAGTCATTGGATATAACACTGCATTGGGGAAATGTTCTATAAATGTGTAGAACATTGTGCTTGCTTTACCAAGTTTGTTATATTTATGAAAAAAGAGATGTGTAGGGTGTGGCAAACAGAGAACCCATTTTATACAAAGTGATCTGAACTTGTAAGATCAGGGTTCACAGTGCATTTACTCTCATTTAGTGTACAATATAAATACTCTTAGCCCACTGCTGATACCAGGGTTGGTGGCTATGGGGGAAGTGCAAACTCACTCCAATAATCCTCCTCAAGGGCACAACTATGTACTCCCTAAGGGGTCTTTGCAAAACACAATACAATGACACACTTGCATTTCACTGTGTTACACAGATTATGGTTAAGATGGTCAGACAAACAAACTTTTTACTGTGAACTAACATTTGTTTGTCAGTAGTCAAAACCATTTAGAGTTGGAAGATGGTCAAATTTGCATATTTTTTTTTATTAGAGCCAGATGTTGAAACTTATTCTGAACCCAGCATCTGCTGCTTTTTCTTTGGAAATGAGGACCCCAGTCTGCCCAGTTGGAAGACAACAGTAGCCTATCATCTTTATGGGGAGTGGCGGCCTAGTGGTTAGGGCATAGGGCTTTGAATCCTGAGGTTGCGAGTTTGATCCCCCACTGCCACTCTGGGTCCCGGAGCAAGACCCTTAACCCCACACTGCTCCCCGGGTGCTGCACAATGGCAGCCCACTGCTCCCCAAGGAGATGGGTTTAATGCAGAGAATTTATTTCGTTCTTCTGTACCTATGACAGTGGAATGACAACAAAGTTGAATTCTATTCTATTATCACCAGGAGCTAGTAATCATTTTGAAGGCCAACATTTCCGTGTGTCTTTACAACCCAATTTTGATAGACTGCTCTAAATTACTTACTGCCTTTTACATTTTTTCTTCATTGCTCACTTGTCTGCCTTCTCCCTATTCAAGTTTTTCTGTTTTTTTAATGCTTCTGAGAGCTGTTTTCTCATTCCTCTCCTTCTTTGTCTAGCTGCCATGATATGACATTAGGTTTTTAATGAATACTAAATGTAATGTAACGCTCTTTAGATTACTATGACATAAAATGGTTACAAAGTACATTTGCCATCACTGCACAATATGCATGTCCTGGTGCACAGTAGATATACGCTTTATCTCTATTCGTTGCCAGTTCTGCTATAATAGTGACAGTATTTCACCATTAAAGCATTTCCCTAATCCATCCCTATTTCCACGTTCAAGCATTTCCCATAAAAATAAAAAATAAAAATCAGTAATCCTTACATCATCAGGTTTTTCTTAGTAAACTGTTTGGACTTATTCAGACATCCTTTCATGATTTCTATAGTGGACATGAAGCGACTTCGACTCCAATTGGGTAGAGACCTGCTATTACAAAAAAATGAAAGCCAAGGAAATACCTCAACTTAGCAAATGTAAAACCTAACAACTGCTTCATCTGTTTTTGTTGGAAACGTGAACTCACCCAAAATATTTCCATAGGTGTTTTCCCACATTCGTCTCAGCAGTGTTTTTCTGTTGCTTTATTCACTTTATTCACCTGGACTGCAACAGACTTGGACTGTATTTCATGTCTGAAAGAATAAATATTTATTGGGTGTTTTTTGAAAAGGTTTTTTTTCTCTGTTAAAGGAGAAGTTCGGTTTTTTACACTTTTAGCCCATTTTCTGTAGTGTCCAGGATGAAATCGAATGATCGACACCAAAAGTTTGACAATTGCTCCTGTCTCTGCTTTTTGGCTCATGCAGAATCACCCCCTGGCTGCTTTAGAATGGCTAGCATAGAGCATGTCCGATAATGTCCTTAAAACAACCTTAAACGTTCTTTTTTTTTTAAATATGCTACTCACCGTGTCGTCAGCGCTGTTCAATGACGTTCCAAAAAAAGTTTCGTAAAGAAAAAACGTTCCTGTAGTGTTTTATTTAGCATTTTGTAAATCCCATTGAGTTCTGTAGGAATAGTCAATATTCCGCTGCCACCGGAAACGGAAATGGGGCCTGTTTACACAGTTGTAGTCTTTTCGCTTCACTCTGTGTACTCCGCCGTCGAGGTGCTAACGTCTCTGTTAAACACTTTAAAAAACTCTGAAAATGGAATACGAAAGGTGGATTCTTGATTCTCGACGTCGGAGTACACAGAGTGAAGCGAAAAGACTACAACTGTGTAAACAGGCCCCATTTCCGTTTCCGGTGGCAGCGGAATATTGACTATTCCTACAGAACTCAATGGGATTTACAAAATGCTAAATAAAACACTACAGGAACGTTTTTTCTTCACGAAACTTTTTTTGGAACGTCATTGAACAGCGCTGACGACACGGTGAGTAGCATATTTAAAAAAAAGAACGTTTAAGGTTGTTTTAAGGACATTATCGGACATGCTCTATGCTAGCCATTCTAAAGCAGCCAGGGGGTGATTCTAAATGAGCCAAAAAGCAGAGACAGGACCAATCGTCAAACTTTTGGTGTCGATCATTCGATTTCATCCTGGACACTACAGAAAATGGGCTTAAAGTGTAAAAAACCGAACTTCTCCTTTAATAGACTTGGCAATAAATCTCACAGTTTGTCTTCTGTTAGAGCATTTTTATAGGCTTACATAATACTAGATTTATCTGCTTGAACTATGAGCACACAGTTCCAACTACAAGCAAAATTTTTAATATTCACACTTTCATACCTCAGACAGCTATGCTATTGAAATGGTACCTTACCTTTTTTATTATTCTGAAAGAGAAGGAGACTCAGCATCTGGCTTGAGAATGTGCTCCAAGTAAACCCTGAGGTCTGAATATTACATTACATTGCGGATTATTTTCAATTATACTACTCTATTTAAAGGCTTCATTTGAAGCTTGAGTTTGCCAGTTCATCAATAGTAGGACTATTATATGAAAATAGGCTTTGATACAGGAATTATTTATATATAAAAGACATATGTTTTTTGATTGGGGGAGATATGTTTGACTGCCTTGTCAAACTAATAACAGTCTTAACGGCGAATGATTTTCACAGAACTTTCCTCATTTGTATGTGCATTTAAGGAGGTAAATATGTTTAAAGACACTGTTTCCATTGCCGTTACGCTCATTGAACATCAGGGTGTTGACATAATTCGATTGTACTTCTTACAGTTTCAGCCTAACCAGCATCTGTGCTGAAATGTCCTGACAAGGAAGCCCAAATGTCAATCTTAGGGCCCTTGTGCTCACAAAAAATTTAGCTCATTAGCCTGATTTTCAGTGTTATGGTGAGTTTGTGGAGCGTAACAACCTGCTACACTGAACTATGCTTGCAAGAACGCTGTGCTAAACTGAGATCAGCCACTGTGTGCCAGTGTTTAAAATAAAATTTTTAATTTTGATCAACAGCTGATTTTTCTGATGCACTTTTTCTCCAAGCTTAGAACTATTTTACTTACATTAGTAACAGAATTTCCTTTCCTTTGATCACAGCAATAAAATTGTTCTTCTGGGCTTACAGATCCACCTTTGGAGGTGAAAATTTTTGAAGGACCAATGAAAGATAAGAGCTTTACCTGTGAGGCTGATGCCAGTCCAAATGCAACAATTACCTGGAGCAGGTACGGTAGATTTTAATACTAGCTCATTTTTTTATCACTAGCACATTTGCCATCTCTGAGATAGTTTACTTTTTGTCGTGCTTTTTGGACCTCTTCCATCTTTCTGCTCTTTTGGCGTTAAGCTTAAGCATTTCTGTAAAAGAAAGGTGTTTTTCTCCCTTACACTAGCTAGCGGATGCTATACTTATATATAAAGGCATTGCTTCTTACCTGGCCCTGAATGGGCATCATTCTTTAATTCCGTTCCAGATTCATCATTAGTTTATTTTTAATATTTATTCATAACATCCCTCATGCTTTTGTTGTCATCTTCCCTCTTTCTCTTCTCTTTTGTTTTCTGTGCGCCGGACTTCTGAAAATCTGACATTGTTAGTTTGCAATGAAACAAGCTTTAAAAGTTGCAGCCCGCTGTTGTCCTGGTCAAAGCATTTCATGTGGGGGGAAAAGGAAACATATTACATACACCTAATGTGTGTGTGTGTATATATATTTATTTACAAATATCTTCAGAGAAACTGCTTTTACTGCCTGTATTTTTAATGTTCAGACAATCAATTTAGGGCCCCTTTCTGACTTTTGCCTGGGACAACTGACCCGTTTGTCCAAACAAAAAAAAAATATTTATGATGAACAAGGTTTGCAAAATGAGTGTTTAAAGGGCAGACCTTGGTAGGTCTGTGGCTAACTGTGCTCAATATCAAATAGGTTAGCCTGTATTAGCTCGGCCAGTTACCCTCATAAGGTACACTTTTTTTTTTTCTACAAGTAGAATAACTTTTTTTTCCTGTCTTTTTTGTGTTTTTGTTTTTTTTACTGAAATCCCCACGTCATTTTAAGACGTTCCAGTTGTCCTCCCCTGTCCTCAGATCTTAACAAAAGTAGCAAATAAATACAAAACTACTGAATTTGTCAAGAACATTTTTGTTTTAACTATTTGATTTGTTTCCAGAACAGCTGATTGGCTCCTGGGTGGAGCTTTTTTTTAGGATTCAGATCAATCCTGAACGCTAGCCTGCCCTGGAGTAGGTATACTGTTCAGAGTACGTTACCATGGTTACTAGCATCGCTAAGAATTAATCCAACTTTGGTACCAGAAAGTCAAGGTTGAAGTTTAAGTTGTCTCGCTAGTTGTGAATTTCAGCAGCTCCCATTAGAGTGAGCTATATCGTTACTACCACTGTTTTTAAGCACATTAGGCCAATCTCCTTAGGCTTATTCTAAGTCAGCAGCAGTTGAATGTTTGTCCAAATGTCTGCACTTTTCCAGCCACCATTTTGCCAGCAGAGAAGGGTAGATGCAAAGTGGTACTCATCACCGCATATTACCATGAAAAAAATAATGCATTGTTACACATATGAGAGCCTCAAAAGGCAAAGCAATTTTTATACAGCACAGCTCAGAAGCAAGACAAAGTACTGTACATGAAAAAAAAAAAAAACCCCACAAAGGATTATGTACGAGGTAAGAAAAAAAAATATACGAGGTAAGAAAAAAAAATGTACTGTAAAGGAACCCAACAAATAGTTATACAAGGAAAAGGACTATCAAAAACTTCAAAGAACCAACCTCTTATCCTCTCTTCTATAAAATATATTCAGAAAAAGGCTTTACCATAAAAAAACAAAGGATGGATACCACAGAGGCCCATTGTCAGCAGCATTTACTCTGTCACAACATTGTAAAACATCTCCTCAACACAAACAAAATTCCACAGGCTTTGTTTTTCAAGTGTGACTCTTGAGACTGGTAAGCAGTGAAACCATTTGTCAACAATGGGAGGTCCCGGGTCCGACTTTTGAAGCCAGCTTTTTTTTGGTCATGGAGGTGACAAGTGAAACCACAGGGAAAAGTTACCTAGTTGGGAAGTGAACTGAATAAGCTGTTGTAATAGGTTGATATGTGGAGGAGTCTTATTAAAAAAGCTGAGCAGCAACAGCCTTTTGGTTCCACTTCACTTTCTCAAAAATGTCCAGTAACCCTAGACCTGACAGGAGAGTAGTTTGGGGAGTTAACTTTTTTTTTTTTTTTTTTTTTAAGTTGTGTAGTCACGCTTACCCGTCTCCAAGGTGGGCTGAGAGTGGCGATGTTGACCCAGAGATTTTTTTTAAAGTCCTCCAGGCTTCCTTCAATGTTCAACTCTGCTGGGTCCATACTTTTTGCTGGTTCCTTCTGTCAACAATGGGGGTGAGGTTGCTTGAGGATCCAAAATGCAGCAATGTGTGAAGCAGAGATGAGTTCTGGTTTACTTAATAAAAAAACTGAGGCATACATCCACAAATGCAAAGAACCAAAAAAAAATAAAAAATTAGGGAAAACTCAAGTGGGGAGACGAGAAAGCAACTAAAAACAACAAGGAAACAGTACTGAGTGATTGCAGAGGTGGTGTATATAAGGGGAACAGAACAACGGATGGGCTAATGAGCTGAATGTGGAGCGGGTGTGAGTGGAACTAACTAGAAGGAAGCCAAGGGGAAAGGAAACAAGCACAAGGGGGTAACACAGAGTAACTAAAGCCTGCTTGAATATAATGGAAAATAAACCTAAGATCAACAAAACAGAATAACTCAAAACTAAAAACTCAGAGTTCCAAAAGGGGAGATTCATCACACCACTTTTTCTTTTTAAGTCAACCATTCTTTAACCTGCATTTCTACATCCAAGGCAGTAAACTCTGTCAGGACTCAACTGGAACATGATGAATCCCTGAAAGACACACCCATTTAACCTTTTATATATATTTTAAACATTGTATATTGCAAAACATGAGTATGCCATGGAGTACTGGTGTTTAACTACACACACTGATCAATGTATGCACTTTAATTAACATTACCAAATGCATCACAAACTCTGTTATTAGAACCATGAGTTACAAGGCAGACAATATTTCCTCTGTTAAAAAGCAGAAGGGTGAACAAAGGTTGAAGGAAGGCGTAGTTGTTAAAAGATGAAGGCCACCATTTAACATTTTCAACTCTCATGCAGGTTTCACCCTATCCTGAGACTCTTTCTGAGGAAATTGTGTAATAGCAGTGTCATTGTGATCCATGTGGCCAAGTAAATCACTCACACCAAAGCACATGATTAACGAGTTAAGTGTGACTCTGGAAGGGCCTAGAACAATGTGCCTCCACATGCTTAAAAACATTAGCAATCCTACTTCAGTTTGGTCTGGTGAGAGCTGTCAAATTTGATATACAGACCCCTGTAATATATCTTGAAACATTTTCAGAAAAACTTAGATGATGTCCTGTAAGCCTGTATTTTGGTAAGGAAAATGTTCCTTCTCACACATTTTGTCCTTTGCCATTTATCAATTGTAATTTCAAAAAAACAGATCAGCAACTGTTTGTTTTGATAATTTTACTGATATTTTAGGCACTTTTTAGTACTAGCAGGTGAAATCCCACAATGACAGATCAGTATATATTAAAAAATTCTCTCCAGTAAACCTTATCTCTTGTGACTTGGGCCTGTTGGAAATAATCCTATTTTTTGTTCAGACGTCTAACATATTTCCGTAAGACGATGATGAGACTAGAATTCTCCTGCAAGCTATAGAAGTTGGAAATCTGTTTTTGGTGTGAATAATAGTCTTCATGCCTAGACCTGTATAGTAATGATTCTCTTCATGTCAGCTCTTAAATATTTCCTACCTGAGAAGACTGTACCTGATGAATCACCGTCCATGTTTAACAAAATAAGTTTTCGAACCTTACAAGACAACGTTATAAAAACATGTCTTTTACAAAAGTCGTTTTAACTTTTTTACCTTTTTTCATTTAAAATTAGAAGAATGACAAGCAATAATAATCATAAAAGTTAATGTTTTAATTTAAATCAACAGAGGTACAAAATAATCCTTAAAAATATCAATTAAAGTCAAAATAATAATCAAAACATGTTAGATTGTGTTTGCATTATTTTAGAAGGTTTAAAAGTATACATTTTATTCCCCAACCCTGATCAATAAGCCAACCTTATCCTGCATAATTCCTGTTTTCATAAAGCAGTCTCATCAGAAATCCCCCATCTGTTAATACATAAAACAGTCATAAATCCCCCTTTTCATGCGGATTTATTGTCCCATAACACTGTTATTGTGACCCTAGACAAAGACATAAAAGCAGAATGGAAAACATTTGTCTGGGCTCCTTTCTTTTTTTTATTACTTGTCAAACGCCTCAAGGCCAGAGGCGTTAACAGACATTTTGGGGGGCAGGTGCTCAGGGGGGGGGGCACTTTTGAGCGCACCTGGAACACTTAATTTAAAAAAAAAATACACACGCATGTTGAATGAAATTTGACTTTTATTTGTAACATTCTCTAAACGTGAGTTTTCAATGGAAAAAAGTCACACCACCAACAGAACAGACTAAAGCGTACTACTTTCATCTTTCTTCTTCTTTCATCTGGCTCATCTCCCTGTTTTCCCTCACCCATCTGTTCTCCCTCATCCTGGTGGTCTCCCTCATCCTGGTCTTTTTCTGTCTCTGTGTCTTCCCTGAACTCTTCCTCATCTCCTGTCCTGGTAGATGTTGATGGTATAGAGCTTCCCTGGTGTGACTGGCTACAATACAATAATAATAATAACCATCATGACAATGACAATAATAATGATGATGATGATGTTGATAATAATAATAATAATAGCTTTAACAAATATGCCACATTAGTTGAAATAATGGGCTATTAGGGCAACATGACTGGAAGTCTTGTCACGTGGATATGACTTAGGGTAGCCTACAAAATAATAGCTATTTTAATACCTGCTGATTTTGTACAAACCACTTAAAAATAAAATGTGAACAGCTTTTAAGATTTTTCAATACGATTAACCCTCCTTTCTTGGCATTGTGCTGCAATTACTAAATCAATATACAATTAAGACAATAAAGAGACCAAAATGTGTTAATTTATGTTGCCTAACAAAACCTATACAACAGAAAACGTTTGTCTTAACACATAGATTTGCAATTGCAAACTCTACCGAAATTATT